AGCCTGCTCTGGGTTTATTAGTTTGGAATGTGGAGCCTGCTGTCCTCCAGGGAAGCATCCTACAGACATAGTTTAGGACTGGGTTTGGGCATGTGGAGCCTGGTTCCCAGAACTCTAGAGTTACTCAAGGTTAAAAGGTTCCTTATTGAGCACGGGTAAGAGTTCTTTCTTCATTTCAGTTAGCCTGGCCAACCAGACTTGGGGGGGCGGTGTATGGAGAGTCACGGGTACCCACTTGCTAGTCTTTGCTTCCTTCTCTTCACCTGGACCTGACAGGAGCCAGGGTCAATAGCTACAACCTGTAAACACCAGGGTTTTCTCAGGACCAGTGTCCCAGAGACCTGGATCCTACCTGTCCATGACCTATCACAGGCAATGAATCATGTCAATGTGAAAACAGCCGAGGAAGAAGGCAGGGAGGGAAGAAAAGAAGCTCAGATTGCTAAATGTCCCACTTCAGCCACCATAAGTGGCAGAGTGAGTACAAGACCCAGGCCTCTGTTATTCTTGCTCTACATCTCTACCCCTGATGCCTTGTTTGTTTTCTTCATGACATTAGCAAATACTTGAGAGAACAGCTTAAAGGAAGGAAGGGTTTATTTTGGCTCACAGTGTCACAGATGTGTCTATCCATAGTTATGGATTGAATCTGAAACAACTCATGTTTTAAATGCTTCATCTCCAACTGGTGGCAGGTTGGGGAGGCTGTGGAGCCTTTAGGAGGTGTGGTGTTGCTGGTGGGAGTAGCTCTTTGAAGGTTACACCTGCCCCTGTTCCAGCCTTGCTCCCTGTTTCCTGGTCCACCATCATGTGAACAGCTTTCACCACTCCCACAGCCGTGAGCTGAGCTTGCCCACCATGATAAGACTGAAGCCACAAGCCCACATTCATCTGTCTTCCTTAGGTTATTTCTGCTAGGTATTTTGTCACAGCATTGCAAAAGTAGCTAGTGCATTCTGCTGGCTGCATTGTTACCAGCCAAGGTAAGACAGACCATCATAGCCGCAAGAGCTTGTGGCACAGAAAAGTTGTTCACCTTAATGTGACCAGGAAGCAGAGAGAATAAAGGAAGGGGTGTGGGAGGAGATGCAGCTTTTCCATGCCATGCATCCAGTGACCCACTTCCTCCAAGTAGGCACCGCCTCCCACTTCTCACCACCTCCCAAGAATGCTATCATATTATAAATATGTCAAAGAATTCATCCATTGCTTAGGTCAGAGCTCTCAGGATCCAGTCACCTCCCCAAAGCCTATCAGCTGGCAACCAGACCTCTAATACCTGAGCCTGTGGGAGATGTTTCACACTCTAACCTAGTAGTGCCTTCAGAGCTATCTACTTTTGGGACTTGGTTTTCTAGACACTGAGCCTGTGTTCAAGTGATTTTCTCTGCCAGCAAAGTCTAGAACATCAGATAACTACTTTAGAGAGATCAGTAGACCCAAATGCTTTAGTTGATCGATATGAGCATGGAGGTCCTGAGACTTTAAGCAACTCGCCCAAGGTCACACAGCTAGTTTGCAGCATGGCCAGCCACACAGATTGCCAGTCTGATGCTCCTTGCTATGTAGCAGGCCTATGGTTCTTTGTTATTAGAGGACCCTTGTTTCTTTGTTATTAGAGGAGAGGGAAATAGAGAAGCAGTTGGTTTGTGTTGGTCACAGCTGTTCCTTGGCCATGCCTGCCTCCTGCCCCGGACGGAGCCAGCAGCCCTGTCTGCCTGCTGGCCAGAGGGCTGGGGTGTATGAGCCAGGGGCTCTCCTCTGTTCATTGTAATGAGGTGGAAGGGGTCCTTCCCACCCCAGGAGAGAGCTTGCCAGGGCAGGCTGGGAGCCATAGAACTGGATTTACTCTGCACATCCAGGGATTGGGAAATAAGTTGCTTTAGAAAGACTTTTCTTTTGAAAAGATAGGCTTGTTTCTGGTCTCTTCCATTTTCCTCTGAGGACAGGGAAGGCCTGCTTATGAAGATGGAAGGGACAGATGTGAGCTCAGGTGTCTACCCTCTGGCTGTATCCAACTCACCTTGTGTTTCTGTAAATAAAGTTTTATTGGAACACAGCCACTTAACTGTTTTCCATATCACCTCTAGATGATTTTATTTATTTTGTGTGTGTGTGTATGTGATACTGGGAATTGATCCTAGGTCTTCAAACATGCTAGGCAAGTGCTCTACACTGAGCTACACAGCTATACCCCCAGCCCTCTTCTTATTTTTTATTTTTTTATTTTTTATTTTTTTTGAGATAGAGTCTAAATGACCCAGGCAGGTTTTAAATTTGTGATCCTCCTGCTTCTGCCTCCCAGCTGCTGGTATTAATAAGCTTACACCATGCCCATCCCACTTTTGCACTGTGATCGTAGAGTTGAATGGTCTTCCTAGAGACCATCTGGCCCCCAACACCCAACATTTGTCCTCTCTGGCCCTTTAGGATCCCTGCTCTAGCAGAATAGTTCTTCCTGGCCATCCAGGCCCAGGCAGAATGTCTTCCCATGGCTCACTGGCAGAGTTTTGCCTTTCTCAAAATACTCTTCATGAAGAACCCCCAAAAAATTGCAAAGGGAAGGTATACCCCCTGAGAAAGCCAATAGAGGTGGAGAGAGATGCAGACTGCCCCTCAGCCCATCAGTGCAGTGCTGTGTAGGACTGGATGGGGCTGGGCTGGGCTGGGTTGGGCTGGGTTGGGCTGGGCTGGCACTGGCCTGCCCAGACTGTGGCATGGGCTTGCTGGAGAGTAGCCCCATTGACCACATCTCTAGAGACAGTAGCAAAATCAGAACCTTTGCAAAGTGTGGACAGAGACAGGAAAGCTTCCCCCCCACCTCACCCCCATTCTGCACTCTCCCTCCTAGCCTACAACTGCTTAGAGCCCTGGTGGTCCTCGGTGCATCTGCCCTCTCTCAGCCCCAAGAGGGCAGTCCTGTGAGTTGCTAGGCCTGGCAAGAGGCTCTGGCCTCAGACTTAGCCCTGTTTGTCCCTAATTCCCCCCACCCAATCTCTGAGGATGACAGCAGGAGGTATCTCAGACCAGATACAGGTGTTGGTGTATCTAGTATGGTGTACCATCTAATTACCATCCTTGCATCCTGGGGCTGTGACTTCCCAGCCCCAGAGCTAACCAAACTTAGGGAGCCAGACTCATGTTCACTACCTTTATAGGTGTTGCCAATGGTGGCTACTGGTAACTAAACACAGGAAAGGTACTAGCCTCTCTCTTGGGCACTCACATTACCTCATAACAACCCAGAAGGTAAGCATATCATTTTATCCTGAATTTTACAAGTTTAAGAACAGGCTCAGGGAGGTTAAATAACTTCCCTAAAGGGACAGAGCCTGGATTTAAGTCCAGGCAGTCAGACTGCAGAGGCCTCTCTAAACCTTTCCACTAGCACCCCACTCACCGTTTACAGTGACCTCCAGAGGGGTCGGCTTCCTCTCAACAGGCTCACTTGAGCAAGTATGTGATATACTTGAAATGGCTAGCAGCATCAAGTTCTGATTACTTGAGGTCTGTGTCCCTGCAAGAGATGGACATTGTACTAGCTGTATAGCCTTGGGCAAGCCTCTCTGGTTCAGGTTTTATCATCCACAAATGGAGGGATAACAGTACCTGTCATTGTAGGTTTGTCTGGAAGGATAAATGAATAGCTCTTGTGTGAACTGTGTGGTACAAAGCTGAGCAGACAGCAAATGCTTGATCGATGTTAGCTTCTGGGAAGGGGTTTGCAGCTCCTCCTGGCCAATGCAAGGTGGCCCTGCAGGGGATTGCCTCTTAGATACGCAGCTCAGCAAGAGCCTTGTGACTGTGCAACTGTAACTAGCTCGCAGCACCTTGAAGGTGAACAGCCCAGCAGAGAAACCTGTCACCTTGGGGTGTCTCCAGGCCTTTTTCCATTTCTGGCGCATGGAAATCTAAGCCAGTTACTTCCATCTGAAAGATTCCTCCCATACAACATGAGGTGTGTGCCTGCCCCTGGGGCTGTCATGAGACTAAATGGTCCACTATAGGTAGATAGTGCCCATGTGTGATCTCTGGTGTTCATAGTAACCTTTGATATTGCTTATACCAGGGCTAGCCAGATGACACAGCAGGTAAAGGTACTTGCCGTACAAGCCTGAAAACCTGACATTGATCCCTGGAACCCACGTAAAGGTGGAAAGAGAGAACCAACTCCTTAAAGTTATCTTCTGATCTCCACATATACACAACTTTAAAAGAAGTTTTAGAAATGTTCATAGGGGTGAACAGGCAAAGAGCTCTTTACCCCATCACAGGGATGATGGTTCCATATCCCATAATCTCATGTTCCTCTAGAGCACTTCTGCTCCTCCTTCTTGGCAGGAAATATAACCCATTTCGCAGGTGAGGAAAACTGAGGCCCACATGGAACACCAATGTCTGTGCCTGAAACAGAGCCCTCTGTCTCCTGGCCACTAGAGGTCCCTGTACTGGGTCCCGGGGGAAGTGGGGGTCTCTGTAGGGAGAATCCTCTGCCCCTTTGGGCCTGTCTTCCTCCCCCAGCTGGTGCGGCTATGGTGAGAGCTGAACAAGACTTAAAGGTTTAGTGAGTGGGACCATAAAATTTGTAGACCGTCCTGACATTTGAGGTCTTGTGTCCAGCCTGCTGAGCATGCTGGCCTGTAAGAATCCTTGGAACCATTAGGCTCTGTGGGGCCAGCCCCCCACATGGCCACAGAGGCAGAGCCAGGCTGCCTTCTCCAGCCCACACTAAACAAGTCCCACCCTGGGTCTGGGAGTCTGTGCTCCAGAGGATTCCTGTGTTTCGACAGACACCTCATTATCCCATCCAGCCTCTGTAATCACACAGGCCCACGCCCAGCAGCCATCCCAGGCCAGGAAATCACTCCCTCCCCTCCCCCGCCTTCCGCCCAGGGCGCGCTTGAGTCCAGGCACCAGCCACTTACTTGTGGCCCTCCTGCCTGCCTAACGGTTCTCTCCTTTGGTTCTCTCTCCTGCTGCTCCTTGCGGGGACTCGGAAGTGTGGCTGTCCAGCTGGGCTGAGTCACCCAAGAAGGACATTACAGGTACTGCACAGCATTCATGTGTATGCATGCGTGTGAACATATGTGTCCTGGCACGTGTGCCAAGGAGCTTGTGCCCAAGTCTTTCTCACGCATGCTTCCCTGTGGTATGGGGTGACCCTTGATCAGCTTGTGGGACTTCTCCACTCGCTGGGCCCTCTGCCTGCCTGGAGAACCCTTTGTAGTCCTCAGACAAGCCGAGGAGCCTTCTGGAGTGATGACTTCGTAGCAGGGTGTGAGCGAGTATGAGCTGGCCAAGTGTATGTGGGTTGGAATCCCAGCTCTGCCATGTCCTGTCTGTGCTACCTTGGGCAGGTTGTATAACCTTCTCAAGGGTATGTAATGCTATCCCAGGGGGTGCCTAGCACAGTGTGCCGGGATGATGTTGGGCTGTTGTAATCTATGGCCGTATCACATTGGCCATCCAGGGAGAATGGCCAAAGATGAGCCATCTCTAATCTGAGGCAGGAAGTCCCTGAGCTCAAACCTACCTTTCAGGGATCTCACTAGGGAGCTAGAGGTTTGGAGCACAGGGTGAGGTCCTCCTGTGACTGTGACAGAAGATGGGTCACAGCCTCCATACCCTAGCAGTCCAGAGCTTTGGCAGTGTCCCTAATCTAAAGAGGCTTTCAGGCCTTTGGCCATCTGGCTGAGGTGGCCTTCAGGGCCTCAGGGCTTAGCCCAGCTGGGTCACAGGTCAGGTCAGGGACTTGCCTTTAGCCTTGTGGCAGAAACCTGAGACAGCAGGACTAATGTGCCTGGAGGAGATATTGGAAAAAGGATGGCATTTCCAGAAGGGTCTTCTACCAGGTTCTTTCCTTTCTCAAAGTAGACAATCAGGCTGGGGGGTTGAGGGGGACCTGGCAGAGGGTTGGGGTTGAGAAGGGGGCTTGAGCCAGCTGCAGGGTTAAAACCCAAACTTTGGCCTCTACCCACCCCAGCTGTTGGCAGGGAATGGGGGGGGGGTTGGCTAGCATCCCGGGAGAAGGGCCAGGAGGAGGGAAAGCAGTGGGGGAAATCCCCCTTCCCTCACAGTCGTCGTCCTCTGATAGTCTCTGTGACGCTGGCCTGGGTCTGAGCTAATCACTGGGCTCCTGTCCCTTTTTCCCCTCTGCACAAGCCAGTGAGCCAGAGCCCACTTGGCCCACAGCAATACATTCTATTCATCAGACGTATAGCTGAGAGGCCAGCAGGCCCAGTGCAGCCTGGGAGAACTGGCTGAGGGGCCAGAGGGTCTTGGTGTAATGCCCAGGGTTGGGAGTGTTATGGGGAGCCTGGAGTGGAGCCCCCACAGGGCCTGTCTTCTCAGGATGAGCCCAGCTGTTTGGAGCTAAAGGTCAGGAAAGGTACTACCCCACCACCCTAAAGTGGCAGGGACAGCCAACTGGGAGTCCAGGGCTAGAGTCTCAGGCCAGTCAATAGCTCTCTCCCAGTCTTGGTTTCTCTTCTGGAATGTTTGGGGAATTCTGTGAGTCAGGAAACTCAGACAAAAGACCAATGCCAGAGAGCCTAATAGGTAAGGGTCCTGAGGCTGCATGGTTGGCATCTACCCCAGAGTAGCCTGGGAGGCTCTGAGCTGGCTCTCTCCAGCTGGCAAGTGCCCCTGTCTGTCTGCATATGGGTCTAGGAGAGGCATTTTGCAGGGACACTTCAGACCTCCCTCTCTACCGTACTAGTGCTATGGCTTTTGCTGGGATTGCCTCTGGTTGTGAGGTCTCTAGCTCCTCCCAAGTCTCCCAAACACTCTACTCTATAAACACCTGTCTGTACTTTATGGGGCTTTAGCCTCTGAAACTTCAATCCATGCTCAGAATAGCCCCATGATTTTTGTTCCCATTTGACAGATGAAGAAGCTAATGCCCAGAGAGGTTAGGTGTCCTCCCCAGGGTCACAGAGCAAGGAAGGGCAAAGCAGAACTGGACCCTAGAGTCTCTGGCACTGATTCTAAACATTTGCCTCGTGAATGTCAGGTAATGACTGTGTTCTGGGTCATGTCCTGTGGCACCAGCATCAACAGAGTGATTCTAGTCTGAAGTACACAGCCTGGTTGGGGAACCATTCCCAACGAAAACCCCAAGACAGAACAGGGGAACCTCCCAGAGGGACAGAAATGCTTGGGTAGAACTGGAAGTGGGAGAAGAGAAGGGGAAACAGTCTTGGGGGTGGGCAGAGACTACAGCAAAGAAGGAAGAATGCAAACAGGGACATAATGGGTACTCAGTACACATGTGCTGAATCATGAATGTTACAGGGAATGGTAGAGGGGCTATCAGGGAACTAGGGGAGCACTAGATCAGGAGAAAGACCAGGCTCGAACTTGGCCCCTATTCTATAAGCAACACTGAGCCACTGAAGGTGTGGGAGCTGGATAATACCTTGACAGAGGCCTAGTTTAGAAGCTTAAGTTGACAACCAAAAATCCCAAAGTTCTATGCAAATGGTAGTTGGAAGAATGCTGATGTGAGGCAAAAGTGGGGCAGGGACCCTCAGGGTCCAGCCAGTGACTGTAATGAAGCACAAAGATCACCTCTTGTGCAAAGTCCACTTCCAACCCAGCAGAGGCTATGCTGTCTAGAAGGGTCCACCCCTCTGCACCAAGCCAAAGCCTTCTCATCTGCTCACAAGAGGCCACCTCCCCTTCCCTCAGGCAGACTCCTCCAGACCCCAGTTTTCCGGGCCTTGCCTGGGAGGGGATCCAGAGCCGCCGCTGTGGATGACATCACCGCCCACCACTGAGCAGTTTCTCATCTGGATACCTGCTCTTTGCGCCTGCTACCCTGCAGAAACACCCCCAAAAGGCAGATGCCAGTGGGGGAGAGCTGGGAGCCTGCATGCACTGGGGGTGGAGAGGACAGCATGTGTGTGTCTGTGTGTCCATCCCACAGCTAGCGCAGCTATTTTCAAGAAGAGCTGCAACCTATCTGGGTGTGGAACCTTGGAGAATGTTCTTTTCTTACCTACCTGAGTCCCAGAGTGCAGCCGTTAGGAGGCCCCAGCCAATTTTCCAGGAAGGCTGTGGGCGAGGACTGTGGGTGTGGGGATTTTTCTCCACTTTGAAATCTTGCCTCAGATTTTTCTTGGCTTGGATCAAAATGAACTGATACCTGTCCCTTTGCCTGTAACCTCCTCTTTGTCCACACTGCCATCATCTGGCCACAACCCCAGAGTTCTTTGCTCCTCTTGCCTCCGTTTCACATTTCCTTTTTCTCCCTTCCAGCTCAGTCATCTAGTGCTCCCCTGTTTCTGAGGTGAGGCCCTGCCTCGTTTATCCAGATGGACATAACAATCATCCCATCTGTCTGGAAAAGCCTATCACTAATGGCTATGTGATCTAGTCAATAGAGGTAGCAGTGAGACTCAATAAGAAACCTGTGCTCCAGTATTTATTAGGCACCACCTGTGTGCCAGGTGTCTAGGGATGCAGGGTCTTTTCCTGTAGACTAGGCATGTATAGCACCTGTGGGCCATGTGTGGCACACAAATTAAGATCGTGTGCTTGGTGGCAATGAGCCTTGGGTTCAGTCCCAGCTGAGCAACCTTAGGAAAACTGCTTCCCTTCATGACATTCAATTTAGCCATGTGTAAAGTGGGACTGTGCAGAGCATGAAGCTGCAGTTGATTGCTGAGTACAGGGCTGACCCTGAAGGGCCCTGATGGACACTTGCTATGTCCATGTGATTGGCATTCTCAGGATTTGGAAACTCTCTACCTGCTAAAGAACTCCTACCCCAACCCCTTGTTTGGGTCTTGACTTTTCCTTTCCCAGTTTTCATATCCAACCCTCCCCCAGATTCCCCCCAGGTAGGAGTACCCTATCCTGCAGGCAGAGGTTGGACCCTTTTTGGCTTATACTTTTAGGAAGTACACCGGCACTGATGTCTCCCAGGACACAGCGGGAGCCGCCTGTCAGCTCAGTGTCCAGTCTGTTGCTGGCTGGTGCAGAAGCTTGTGACATCTAAACATAGAGGCGGGGCTGCCCCACTGCCCAGCTGCTGGTTCTGTTTCTGCCTGAAATATAATCCTGGCTTTTCAAGGGCTGCCTGGGGCTTGTAGGTGTGCTCTTACTGGGCACACCTTGGCTTCTGAGTCTCCTAAGGGCCCAGCTGGGGCTGCACATCGTGTGAGAGAAAAGTGCTAGAGCCTCTGTTTCTTTCTTCTCCCAGAGAACCTCCTTTGGCTCTCCCAGAGTTTTGTGGCCATCACCCCCTGCCCTAGCCTCCCCCACAAGGACCCAGAGGTCTAAGCAGTGTGTCTCACTCCTAGCTGCATGTGGCACTACAGGGTGTCTGGAAAAAAACCTCATGGCAAGGCCTGAAGCATTGAGGTTTAGCAGTTTAAAGGCTTCTGTGATGAGTCTCTGCTCCCAAGTGGAGAATCCCTGTGCCAGAAGGACAGTATGGAAACAGAAATCTATTCTGTAGTGAAAAAGAGGGATGGACTTAAACCTTAAAGATAGTGAGTGATTTGGTAGTCTCTATATGAGCTATTCGAGGAGGGTGAGTCTCTTGTTCTCATTATTTTGGAATTAAATAGGAAGAGAAGGGTGCCGTGAGGTGAACTGGAGCCATACCTGCCTGGCACGTGAGTCAGCGTATAGAGGGAATGTATCTGTGGTGTCACAAGGATGCTGGGGACACTCGGCCATTTTATGGCTACATTAGTGGTATGAAGCTCTCAGCCTTCAAGGACATCGGCAGACTTAGAGTTTTGTATGTTTTAGTTTTGAGGCAGGATCTTTTTTAATATTTTATTATTTTTATTTTATGTGTATGAGTATATTGCCTGCATGTATGTTAGTGCACCCATGTCGTGCAGTGCCGCAGAGGTCAGAAGAGGGCATGGAGTCCCCTGGAATTGGAGTTAAGGATGGTTTGTAGCCGCCATGTGGGTGCTGGGAATTGAACCCGGGTCCTCTGCAAGAGCAGTTAGTGCTCTTAACTGCTGAGCCATCTCTCCAGCCCCAAGGTGGGGTCTTTTTAAAAAATATTTTTAATTTTTTTGTTTGTTTTATGTGTATGAGGTTACTGCTTGCATGCATGTAAGTGTACCCATGTTCTGCAATGCCTGAGGAGATCAGAAGAGGGTGTTAGATTGCCCTGAAACAGGTGGTTGTTAGCTACCATGTGGGTACTGGGACCTAAACCCAGGTCCTCTGCAAGAGCAGCTAGTGCTCTTAGCCATCTCTCCTGCCTCAGCCACTCACGTATGGGGATTATAGGCTGACAGGCAAACATACGGTTTAAAAATTCTACTCAGAATTCTCTGGGGACTGGAGCAGCCTGGGAAGGCTTCCTGAAGAGGGCAACTAGTCAGTTTCTGGCTTGTGGATTCATTTAGCTCCTAGCAGGGAATATAGTGTCTCAGGAACTGTTCATAGTAATAGCTGAAGAACAGAGAGATTACACAGCATATCTAGCCACACACCCGGTGAGCTGAGATGGGCACTCTGTCCACGTTCCAGCCTGGTGCTTGCTTAATGAATGGCACAATGGCCCAATGGCCAAAGAGGACAAAGAACTGACTTGCTGGGGTGCCTGGGGCTCACCTGCCCTCTCTCTGATAACCCCAGCCTTTGACCTCTCAATCTCCTGAAACTGCCAGAACAGAAAACCAACACTTCAAGGCAAAGAGAACCAATCAGTCTCTGCTGGTGGGGAGGGCAACCGCCGGGCCCAGGGAGGATCTCTGAAAGGCCTATGGCTGCTGTCTGCCTGGCCCTCCGTGAGCCAGAGGGACAGGAATGGAGCCGAACTTGAGGAAAAGTTGGGGCGGGGGGGCTGGGCTCACCAGCGCTGGCGCTGGGACTGTCTTCTTGGGTTTCAAGTAAACAGTCTGGGCCCTCCTCCCCTCCTCTGCCTCCACCCCCAGCTCCTCATTCGACGGGTCTCATGTGTTTCTATTTAAGGGTTGCGAGTAAGCCCCAGTGATTGGCGGCCTCAAACCCTCTTGACTCTTGGCTGGGCTTGGGCTGTGGAGACTTTCTCTCCTCCCGCTGGAGGGGAACCCTGCTGCCTTTTCTCTCTGGGTTTATAGGCTTGGGGTAGAGGCAGCAAGCCCTTCTGGGCCTCCCCCTCATCTCTCCCTCACCTCTCCTCTTTCTTCTGTGCTGTGGCCTCAGCCCTCATGGGCCTCCCACTGTGGGCTTGTGGCCCTCCTTTTACACCCCAGCTGGCCCAAGAGTCTGGAGAGACCACAGGCCCCAGGCCTTTCTGCAGACTCTCCCATGCTGGGCTGTGACTAACTCTTTGCAGCAACAGGCTTTTCCTTCCATCCCCTTGGCTTCTGTCTCTGCTTGACTCTGCCTCTCTCCTCCCCATTCTCCTCCCCCTGCTCCCTGGCTCCCCATGTCCCCCGGTCACCGCGGTGCAGCGGGCCGGTGTGGGGCCTTGCTATATGGCCTGTCCTTGGGGCCCAGTGAGCTGCGAGCCCTGGCTGCGGGCTGCCCCGCGGTACAGCACTGGCGACGGAGCAGCCTCCTTCGAGGGCGATGGACAGGGGGCGCCCCGGCCGCGGGGCCATGGCTGGCCGCTGGCTCACCGCGTGCTTTCTGCCCTCGCCAGGTGCCGACACCAACGCCGAGCCCATGATCCTGGAACAGTACGTGGTGGTGTCCAACTATAAGAAACAAGAGAACTCGGAGCTGAGTCTCCAGGCCGGAGAGGTGGTAGATGTCATCGAGAAAAACGAGAGCGGTGAGTGCCTGGCCCTCGGCTGTCCACTCTGAGTTCCATCCTGGCTCCTGGGCCGGGCTGGTTTTTGTTCCTTTTCTCCTCCCCCCACCTCTGCAGCTATACGTTATTTCCATCTGGCAGGGAGAAGGCTGAGGAGTCTGAAGTTCCCCTGTTGGTTTGGGCTGCAGGCCAGCAGTTTGCCTGGTGGTGGAAGAATGTCTCCCTGGCTTGAGGCTAATTAGCCAGCTTACGTTAATGCAAGGCCAAGGTGGCAGCCTGAGTTAAGTATCCATCCCCTACTCAGGGACTCTATGCCATCTGGGACCCTGAAGAGATAGTGGCTTCAGCTCAGGGTTGCTCACTAGCAGCTTCCCCAGTTGGAGCTGTATTCTAAGCCAGGATTCAGGCAGGGAAAGAAGGACCCAACCAGCTGGTAGGGAAGGCAGGCCATGACATCACCATGGGGTCCAGAATCCCTAGGCCCCTGGCCAGTTGAGTTGTCTGAGGAAGAGCCAGGATCCGGGCTCATTGCCTAGAGGTGGAGTGAAGCCAGGTCCTGGGGCCAGGGAGGGTTCTACAGCAGCCACTTTGTCATTAGGAACTGGCATAGGGGCCATGCTGGTGGTTGCCTGGGGTCTGCTGGTTCCAACATCTCTACAGAGCGGGCGAAAACCCTTGGTGTCCTTGGCAAAAAGGTCACAGCAGGCGGTAAAAAGAGGTAGAGCCAGGCGTGGTGGCACACACCTTTAATCCTGGTCTCCATAGTGAGTTCCAGGACAGCTGGGGCTACAGGGAGACCCTGTCTCAAAAAGACCAAAAAGAGAGAGAGAGAGAGAGAGAGAGAGGTAGAGTCTGTCAGTCCTGCATTGCAGGCTTATGTGGCTCCTGAAGGGCCAGGGATGGTCCTTGAACACACAACAAACCCCAACAGCTTGCTCACAGCCTGCCAGGTGGGGCTTGAATGGGTTTGGAGGCATCTTGGTTTGGTTTCAGTTTCAGATTGTTGGAGGCAGGCCTTATGCATAGGTGCTCCCTTGGGTTGTATTTGGTAGGCACTCCAAGAGGAGAAGACTTGATCTCCTCACCCTGTCCCCTCTGTTCCCTTCCAGTAGTTTGAGAGGAAGATAATCCATAGGGCCACTGTGCCCATTCTGTAGACAGAATAACTGAGGCACAGAGAACTAGAGGGAAAACAAATCTCCTGAGGTTAAAAAAGAACCATGTGCTCTTGAACTCCTGATTGATATGGCCCTAGGTGGCTGCAAAGAGGCTGAAGAAATTCCAGTGGGCATTCTAGGGGACACGACTCTCAAGCATAAGGCCATGATATGAATGAACATGGACTAGACTTGCCTTTCAGGAGCTGCAGTCTTCATAGTCCATTCCAGCCCCTGAGAGGTCAGGCTCTGTCCTTGTGCTGGAGTTATCACCAAGGTGATCTGCACATGTGGCTGGGCCATGTCCTATATAAGGCCTTGGTTCCAGGTGGTTGCCACACTAGTCTTCTTCCTATGTAGCTTTGTGCTCAACCTTTGTTATACTACCAGTGTCATCTTCCTGTTCCCCACAGAAGATGTCATTGCCTTGGGATCTGGTTCTAGAAACCCCAAGCCTCTGAGCCCAGAGAGAGGGATCTGTGTAGTGCAATGGGAAGTGTGGGGGGAGGAGGATGCTTGTGTACTTGGGAGCATGCACCTAGGAAAGGCAGGGGCCCACTTTAATATACAAGGTCAGTTCTTCCCGGAAGTTCTTCCTCAGGGGCTTCCCTGCTGCTACATGTACCCTGTCTTACCACCACAGCTCCGTGATCCCAGAGCAGTAGGAGGTGGTGAGCCCTGGGTCCTTGGTGTCAGCCACTGGCCAGGATGACAGAAGAGGCTACTTAAAAATCTAATCTGCTTTAAGACTCAACAGTTCTGGACCAAGCCTGGTAACACATACCTCCTTTAATCCCAGCAATCAGGAAGCAGAGGCAGGCAAACCTCTCTGAGTTCAAAGGGGAAGAAAAAAAAAAAGACTCCACAATTCCCAGGGCCTCACATGACCTCTCCCTTTCCATCCCATGACCTTTGGAATACATGGAATACTCAGAAGGAAGGAGACTCTGAATAGGTGAGAGTCTGTGTCAGGTTTGAAAACTGTGTGAAGACATCCACTCTACTATAGACTCCTTAGCTGTTAGAAGCCTAGGCTCCCCACTGCCACCTTTGGCCTGAGCAGTCCAGTCTACCACAGACCTCAAGAGAGAGCTACTGTTTTTAGAAGCAGAGTTCTAGCTGCCACCTGCTAACTGTGTCACTCCAGATCCCTCAGTTAGCCCTCCTGTAACATGGGGATAAACTTTGTAGCTACTGAGAAGTGGGGACTGGAACAAATGGTCTCCCTGAGCCCTGCCTTGCGTCTGAACTACAGATGACTTAGTAGGTAGGACTCTGAGCATCAGGTGAGAGAGCCTCCCTGTATGTGGCTTGTCCGATGTTTTGGAGGTTTTATATCTTTCCCATTAACAGAGACAGCTGTGTAGCTACAGGTGTGTTTGCATAAGGATCTAGAGTACTGTGGCTAGCTGTCTGTCCATCTACCATTAACCAGAATGGCTGGGGCATACACACAACTTAACCAGAGCGATTGAGTAGAGGGGAGAAAGTAAGAGGACTAGACTGCAGATCCTGGGAGGTAATTCTCTGGTAGGGAAACTAGAGGCTGGACTGTGGGGGTTGTGGGGGAGGCATATGCATCCTATGCGCTGGCTTTGGAAGAAGTGGTGAGGCTTCTGAACTCTAGAACAAAGACCCAATTGTGATACCTTTGACCTGGGACATGGTGCATGTGTTGCAGCATTTCCACTAGCATTGTTGGGCAGCAGCCCCAGTCAGAACCATCCCCCAGGCCTCCTATTGAGTGCCAGGTCTCTGCCTATGTGCCTTCACGCTTAGCTGGGAATCCCTCAGATGGAGGGCCCATAGAGCAGTCTAGCAACCCCTGACCTTACCTGTTTGTCAGAGGCCCCCTGTGCCTGGAACCACAGCCCCCAAGGCGATGTGTAGGTGTAGACATGCCAGCACTCTGTGACTCTCATCCATCTAGAAAGAACTATCTGGAAGGTGATTCTAAGTCCATAAACAGTAAATACCAGGCACTATGCCCCTGTACTACATAGGATTATACTACCAGAGTCAGGGAATAGCCCCATGAGATAGAAGGTACTTTAACCATTTTGTGGCTAAGTAACATAAAAGTTTGAGTGATTCTTAGATCCAAGAACTGAGATCTCTCCCTCCAGAGAGGCCCTGGGGAAGGCCAGGAATGGGCTGACCTCAGGTATTGAATGGGTAGAAGCATGTGCTGATGATGCTGTGGAATAGGGAGAGACATGGATTGGTGGATACAATCACTGAGCTCCCTGGGGTCCTCCTTCTGGCATGGTGCTCACACATGGGAATTCTTGATGTGAATTTGGAGGCAGATATGAATTGGGATGATTTCAGGATGACTTATCCAAAGAACATGTACTGGAGAAGTCAAAGGTACTAGACTGGCTTTTTCTATCCAGAGAGAGAGCCCATGTAAAGATTCTTTTTTTTTTTTTCCAGTGATCAACAGGATTGCTCAGAGCAGAAAGATCCAACAGCTATGGTAGCCTTACATCCAACAGACCATGCCAGGGCCTGCAGCAGCTATTATTGCTTTGTCTGTGGAAACCCCTTCACCTTTGACATAAGCAGTCAGAGCTAAGATGTCTCCTGGTAGGACATTCTTGTGCCTCAAAAGACCATATTAGCTGCACCTTCTGGCAGGCATTACTGGTCTAACATCTGCACATTGGTGATGTCAGGGTCCCGGTTGCTCTGATTTCTGTGTTGGAGGAGCAGAGCTGCCTCCAACTTTCCAGGATTATTTCCTTGTTCTCAAGACTGCAGGCCAGGGCAGGAAGTGGGGAGATGAATCAACAGAATTTTTCCTGCCTCAGCTTTCCTACTATGGGTCTTTGCTTATTTCCCTGGCATGATACACTGAAGGTTCTTAGACTTCCTTGGAAACAAGGGATTTTGAGCTCTTCTGGTTCATCCACTCATTTTGCCAGTGAGAAAACTGAGCCTTAAGAATCTTTACTCCCCTCCAAAGCCAGAGCTTTCAATTGATTTGGGACCAAAGGCTGGAAATTCCTCCAGCCTGCTCTAAGAGATTATTGAAAGGCTGCAGGAAATTTTCACCGAAGCCAAGAGTAAGGAGTGAATCCCAGCCTCAGGAGGTTGGAATGGGGAAGCAGAAAGGCAGCACAAGCCAAAGCGGCCTCCCTTGTCTCTGTCTCTCTCTTGGTACCCTGTGGACTGAAAGCACAGCTGTGCTCTTCTTGCTGCAGACCAGCCTTCCTTCTTGTTCACCCAAGATAGCAGCTTGTTTACGTCCTGGTGATTAACGCCAGTTTCTGTGTGACTTTTCAGTTGAGATAGCTCCCAACAACTTACTACAGTCAGTTCTGAGTTCAAAATTTCAAGTTTGAGCTGGACAGTTTTGCACACTTTTAATTTTATTTAGTGTGTGTGTGTGTGTGTGTGTATGTGTGTGTATGTGAGGTGCACATATGCCATGGCATTCATATGGAGGTCACAGGACAAGTTTCCATAGTCAATTCTTTCCTTCCACTCAGGATTCTGGGAATCAAACTTGGGCCGTCAGGCTTATGTGACAAGCCCTTTTACCTATGAGCCATTTTGCCATCCCAAAAGCAGGTTTTAAAGAAGAGAGCTATTTGGGGAAGGGGAGACTCTTTAAACATATTATCTGCAACCATTTGTTTATTTAGCAGCTATGTATTATAAGCTGTGTATTGTAAAGAGAGGGCCAAGAATCTGGGATTCAAATATTGGATTTAAAATCTAATCCTGTTGACTGAGGGTGTAGCTCTACAATAGAGTACTAGCATGCTTAAAGCTCTGGGTTTGATCCCCAGCACTATAAAAAGAAAGAAAAAATATCTAAAGCTGATATGTACCACATGAACCTTTAAGCAGTAGCAC